AAAGAACATCGTAATAAACAAGTAAATTCACGTTAACAGACATGTCGAAGAGTTCAAAAAGCTATCAACATTTGTATAGGAATATTAAATAATTGAAAGTAGATTAGGAAAGCGTTACTTAACGGTCTTACTGAGCACCGTAGTTTTATTTTGACAGTTGTTGTCATGAATTAATAGTTATTTCTCAAGGCTACAACACTTCTAATACAGTTTATATGAGACTGCTGAGCAGTACGACGAAGTGATGAGCATTACGTCGTCCTGCTCACCATTACGTCATCTTGCTCAGCATTACGTCGCACTGCTCAGCACTACGTCGCACTGCTCAGCACTACGTCGTACTGCTCAGCATTACGTCGTACTGCTCAGCATTACGACGTACTGCTCAGCACCACGTCGTCTTGCTCAGCACTACGGAGTGTATCCACTAGTTATAGAGAAATGGCATCGTTTTTTAGGGATTGATGAGATGAATTTAGGCCCGGACCGAAAAATCACCGGAAATTCGGACCGGGCCGAAAGTCCGGGCCGAAAATTCCCTGGACCGAAATTCATGTAACCCGAAAATTCCCTGGACCGAAATTCATGTAACCCTCTACCTAGGGTTTATCCCAATACTTCTTCAAGGTCTACCTAGGAATGGTCCGCATATCTCTCCAAGGTCTACCTAGGGATGATCCCCATACCTACACAATGCCTATCGAAGGGTCGTACTCATACCTCTCCAAGGCCTACTTACGGGTGGGCCTCATACTCCTTGAAGATCTCTATAGGGGTAGTCCGATACCTTTCCAACGTCTACCTAAGCGTGGTTTGAATAATTTTCAAATGGTATTTGCGGTCTCTTATGAATTTTCATAGATTATCTATATAAGTATATAGGGGTATCCCTATAGAGATTTAGGTATATAGGTATACCTATAGGGATAGAAGTATATATAGGAATATAGGGATAGGGATACCTATACGAATATTGATATATAAGTATGGGCATACCTATAGAGATATAGATATATGGATGTACCTATAGAAATATAGATATATGGATATACCTATAGGAATACAGATATACAGGTACCTATAGAGATATAGGTATTTCGATATAAGGGTACCTACAGCAATATAGGTATATGGGTATAGGAGTCTACCTATAGCAATATAGGGATATGGATATCGGAGTAGCAATAAGTATATTGGCATGGCTGTATGCATGGAGGTTTTGAATTATTAAATTGAGAGGTTTTGGTTTACCATCGTTAGGAAAAATCGTGGATAGATCGCGATTTTGCTATGGAAATCGGTAAAATGGACGATTTTATCGCGATACATCTCACAAGCTATCGGCATGGTAAATCGGCAATTTTTGGCCGATTTTCATCACATGGGATAGATTGATAGAAAAAGAAAAACAGAATTAATACAAGAAAAAAAAAGAAATTATTTTGCTACTAAATCAAATATTAATCCAAACTTTTTATTAAATCAATTTTTCCTATAATCTTAAAGTCCAACTCTTCACAGGGGCCTCTAGTATAATCTGTTTTCATTATTGGATGATTGACTTTTACTGCATCCATATGGTTTTGCAATGTCAACTTATAATATTTTATTTGAAGTATGAATAAATAAATAATTATAAAATAATATTTTTTGAGTTTATTATTTTTTCTTTTTAGATACTTGTAGAAAAAGTTAGTGGACCTATTGTTGAAAAACGTAGTGTAGAAATTACTAGTGATTGGAAAATTGAAAATCCATGTAAGCAAAAAATATTTAATCTTTGAAATAATAAATTAAATATTTTATTTTATTATGTAGCAATGATTAAAGTAATAGCAACATTACTTGGAAATTCACCAGATAATATTCATTTATATGATATGAAATCTCGTTTTCTTGATGATATGATTTTTTTACTTTCATCAGCAAGTTGAGAAAATCGAAGGTAAAAATTATGTCTTCTGTTAATAGAAAAAAAAATTTTTTTCGATTTTTGTTTTCATAAGAATTATTTTACAAATATCTGTTTGGCAAGAATATTTACTTGGTCTTGCTTATATCTATCAATCAAATGATCAACAAATAGCTGTAACTGATCGAGTTTTTGAATTATTAAATATTTTATTACATCATGCTATTAAATTTGAATTTGATGGATGGAGAGTTTGGATTGATACACTTTCAATTTTACATGGATAAGTAATAAATTAAGAATAGTTTTCTTTTGAAATAAATTTTATTTTTATTCTTAGATAACTAAAGAAGATTATTATCGAAAAATTAATAAAATGGTTGAAAATATGAAAGATGATGATGAAAATGATGTAATCATTTTTTTCTATGGATGGATTGTTGATTTGATTTATAAAATGTTTAGCAAAAAACAACAGTTTCTACATCAACAGCAAGCGGTCCAGACACACCAATCGATGGACAATCAGTGACAACACTGGCTAGTATGTTAATAATCGATAATACGATCGAAATGAAACCTTAAAATAATAAGATTTCAAATATATATTCAAAAGAAAAAGGAAGAGTGTTTTTATTAGTCGTCGCGACAGAAAAAGTTCTCTACCATGATTTTCTCTGTTCAATGGATCGACTCACATCTATAACCAAGAGATGAAATAATATTTGATTGCACATCTCGATAGTTTTGAGAGTTGATCGGTTTTTCGTTCAAAGTTCAATTCTTGGAACTGACGAAGGATCTTCCTCAACTGATTGATCGATTTTCAGCTGGTATTATGTAAATCCTAATAGGTGGTTATGAATATTTGAAACAGAATTCTAGTGCTTAACTTATTACTGTGAAGATACTGGATTTTTTATAGAATCTTTTAAGTCAATATCATGGTCTATTAGGAACATCAGAAATATTAATTTTCAACTTGAAACTTTTCGTAGAAATGGACCTTGCTGAGAATAATTTATTGCGAAAGTTTTAGATCTTTTCGTTGTTTCTATCGAAAAATATGACGATGATAAAGTCGTATTTTCATTAACGTCTGTCTCTATGCAAAGTTTCAAGGCAAAATTCAAAAATCACTATTTCCGCAGCAATACAGTAAATATCCAAACTCTTTTCAATGTTCTCTTAGCCTATTAATATCTACATGATGCACATAAGTAGAAGCGAAATTGTTCAGATGCATCAGTTTCTTAGCACTGAACTTACAGATCTCTAGTTACTAGTTATTCAATAAAGTGAAGTGATGATTTCCGATTAGTATCTTCAAATAAATATCGTTCGGCACATAACAGCTATCTCAAAAGTTTGAGATCCATTCATACGAATGATGATTTTCGTCAAGATTGTCTTCAGCTAAATGATGCATATATTTTCTTCTATTAAGAATCAACTTCTAATTGTCAAGTATTCAATAAGAACAATCAATTACCACCATATACAATTTCTAACTTTAAATATTCTCCAATGCATATACGTCTGTTACATAGTGTTTTCAATTCAATCGAAACAGAAGTTCGCGCATGGAAATCGTATGTCTTTAAAAAAAAATTCTAAAATAAAATTTCTTTGTTTTTGCTTTCTAGTGAATCAACTAAATAATAACTGATTGTATTAATCATTCAGATCATCAAATATTTTGTGCTAATGTTGTACATATTATATCTCAAATGTCTGAAGTTTTATGTAATGGATGTGGCGGTCTTTTACCATTACTTGCTAGAGCAACATAAGCATCAGTAAACTTAATTTTTATAATTTCTATAAATTTCATTCTTTGTGTGTGTTTTTTGCATCATGAAATTGAAATATTAGAAAATACAGAAGATTTATTACCATTCAATGCAATTAAAATCTTAAAACATGTTATGAGTTTAGCAGATTTATTTATTCTTGCAAATGGTTCAAATTTTTCTGAACTTAAACAAGAAAAAAATATGCCAAATGAAGGAATTTTAAGACAATGTCTTCGTTTAAGTAATCAAAATTTTTTAGAAAATATTTCTTTTAAAATATGTTTTATTTTTTCGTAGCAATGACAATAGCAGTTTGTCATTGTATGGAATATCATTTTCAACGATTTGATCCATCATTAATATTAAAAACTTCTGAATCAACATCACAAACAAAACTCCAATGAAAGATCCAATTGAATTAACTTATTTATTAAATTCACCATCACAAGAAAATGATCTTGATGAAAATATTGAAAATTTACTTGCAACATTTATTAATAATCCTGAATCAGTTTTACAAGATATTGATATTCAATGTTTATGTACTATTATCTGTCGTGATGTGGTAAGACAAAATCGAAATAAAACTGGCAAAAACTTTGTCATTGTCGTGGTAAATTTAAGCAATATATTTTTTTCTTTCTTTCTTTTGCTTTATGTATTTTGTGTTGCATTAATTGTTCTATCTTATTTAATAAAATTAAATATATATATATATTATTTAGGATGATACAAAACAATCATAATTTTTAGCATTATCTATTGTTTATTTTGCATCAGTATTAATGGTATCAAGACATCGAGATATTATTGAAACAAATCAAGCTTCTTTATCAAGAACAGCATCATTTATGAGTACGACAACTAGTATTTGAAATAGTAGGGATTGTTTTGTTTTTGTTCGATCTTTTTTTCTATTTTGTGATTTTAGGTTCAATAATGGATGGTACTATTCATACGGCTAGTGTAAATGGTTTAAGTTCAACTGTAGTACCTATTACTAATCATAAAGTATCATGATTATTTGAATGTTGTTTCTGTTAAAAAAATGTTTTTTTTTGCATAGAAAAATTCAAATGAAACAATAACATATGATGATCGAATAGATACAGGAAATGAAACAGATAATGCAGATTCACAATCAACTAATCGCAAAATCTGTAGATATAAATAGTGCAGGTACCACAACTTCTCAATACAGTATGTGAGAGAAAAAACCTATATGACATATATCTGAATAAATGAAATCATATTTTGTCTTAATTGATATTTAGCTTTTGACAGAAAAATCAATGAAATTGATTATAAGTCAATTTTTTTTTCTAGTTCAGCAAGTATAGCTAATATACCAATAATTGATCCAATGACAGTTGATCAGCGTCGAATGTCAGAATCTAAACTTCCAGATTATCCAAAAATCAATTTTGATACAAATGAACTATCAGCAACGAATATAACTGAAAAATTAGAATGAATATTATCTAATATTGCACTATTTTTACGTGATATATTCACAGAATTTTCATATATTCTGACAAAAACATGAGTTGGTTCACATGGACAAGAATTATTACCTAGTGGTTTACATGTTCTTAAACAAACGGCATCAGTTGTTGAACTTGTTATGCTTTTATGTTCACAAGAATGGCAAAATTCTCTTCAAGTAACATTGAAATTTCCTCTTACGAGACAACCGACTTATTGAGTTTTGACTAAGCTATTGAATTTTTGAATATATCGATTTACCTGAAGTCTCAAGTTTTCGAAAAACTCGAATTTTGATCTGAAACTTTGTGCATATAGAAAATTCAACTAGACTAACTTCCATAAAAAAAACTCACAAGTTTTGAATAAAGACTTTTTTCTATGGATAGTGTATGCGATATTCAGTTTTTTGAAAGCTTCAAATCCAGTAGAGAAATGTTGGTACGGTATCACATTTTGTAGAGAATTGTCTGCTCTAGGAAACAATCGACTTCGATAATGTTTAGTATGTGCGAAAAGGGACTTATACGTTAAACAAAAACCTTTCTCAGCCCATATTCAAATTCCGGTCGCTGTCTACAAAGTATCATTGAAATCGGAAAGGAAGTTTCCCTCGTTAGTTTCTTTTTTTTTTTAATACGTATTTCATTTTATTTCATTTCATTTTATAATTTTCTTTTTGTTTTAGAAACATGCTGGTTTAGCTTTTATTGAATTAGTTACTGAAGGACGTTTATTATCACATGCAAGTAAAGATCATGTTGTTAAAGTAGCTAATGAAGCAGATTTTATTCTTAATCGTATGCGTGCTGATGATATACGTAAAGCAAGTGAATTTGAACAATTATCAGCACAAACAACTGTTGAACGTAAATCTGAAGAACAATTATGTGAACATTTTATAACAGCAGCACGTCAACGACATCAAGTTATAGCATCACGTTTACAAGAAAAATTTTTAGCTATGATGATAAATGATAAAACAGCTTATTTAAATAGTTCACGCCCATTTTGGAAATTAGATCCATGGGAAGATGATTTAAGACGCCGACGACGTTTAATACGTAATCCACATGGTTCCGTACATAATGAAGCAACACAAAAATTATCATTTAATGGTATTAATGAAGATTTAAGAACATCTGTGATTCAAGAAGAAAATTTATTAAAACATTTAAAACAACAAAAAATACAAAATTTTAATCAACCAATAACTGATGAAGATGAAATATTACAAGTTGATGAAAAAGATCTTGATCAAGATTTTTCAGGACCAATACGTTTTTCAACAGATTGTTCATTAATATGTGGTACAGCTGTTATGCATGGCACTTTAGCTATGACACATAATGCTATGTTATTTGATGCAGATGAATATGATGATAGTTTTACAAAACTTGATTCAAAAGTAAATATAATAAATTGAATTATTAAAAATAATGTGTATTTTTTTTTCTTCTTTTGTCTATTATTTAGATGTTTCCTTATGTTGATAATATTCATGGAAAATGGCATTTTAATGAAATACGAGCTATATTTTCAAGAAGATATCTTTTACAAGATAAAGCATTAGAAATATTTGTCTCGAATAGAAGTATAAATTAAATATATAATTTTTTTTGTTTTTTAAGTTCATTCAAAATTGTGTCTTAGGATGTAAAACTTATAAATAATCTCATTTTCGTTTGAGCGAGAATTGATCTAACCTTATTCAATATTCTATAAAAAAAACAAAAAAAGTAGAATTTTTGGAATTTTTTTCATTTCATTTAATTTCGGTAATTTCAATAATATTGGTGATGAACTGAAATCATATCAATTGGTGAAATGAGTATTGAATCACAGTCATTGTTGACCCGCAACAATAGTCTAAGAGTACGAACTCTTTTCAGAATATTCACATCAAAGATTGAATTTTTGTTTCAATATCTACAATAATTTACTTTTTACATGTTTTATAATTCAAGAGACTTAAATTCTTTATAAAATGTCAACCGTTTGATCCTGTGTGAATAACTGAAAATCTATTGATCTTCATTTTTTTTTGATAATGTAATTTTCAAAATTTTTATATTCAATTTTTATTTTTAGCAAGTGTCATGTTTGCATTTACTGATCGTTCAATTGTAAAAAAAGTTGTTAACTTTTTACCTCGAGTTGGTGTTGGTGGTCGTTATGGATTACCACAACAACGGTTAGATACTTGTTTTTTTTTTGTATTTCATATTAATTATTAATATTATTAGACGAACATCATTAGCATCACCAAAACAATTATTTCGTTCAGCAAATATGACTCAACGATGGCAAAGACGAGAAATTTCAAATTTTGAATATCTGATGTATCTCAATACAATCTCAGGTATTATAAAAGAAGATTGAATTTAAATTTACCGTAACTTTATTTAGGTCGAACATATCAAGATTTAAATCAATATCCAGTATTTCCATGGGTTATAGCTGATTATGAAAGTGAAAAACTTGATATAAATTCTCCATCAACTTATCGAGATTTATCAAAAGTAAATTAATATTATTTATTTTATTGCTTTTTGTAATCTATTCTTGATTTTTTTCTTTAGCCTATTGGTGCATTAAATCCTACAAGAAAATCATTTTTTATTGAACGTTATAATAATTGGGAGTCTGATACAATTCCACCATTTCATTATGGTACACATTATTCAACAGCTGCATTTACACTTGGTTGGCTTATTCGACTTGTTAGTAGAAATATATTTTTAATTAATCGAATAATTATGGTCTTTTTGTTTGATTTTTAGGAACCATTTACAACATTTTATTTAAATTTACAAGAAGGAAAATTTGATCATGCTAATCGATTATTTCATTCGATTCCTTTATCATGGCAAAATTGTCAACGTGATTCATCGGATGTTAAAGAATTAATTCCTGAATTTTTTTCATTACCTGAAATGTTAACAAATTGTAATCATTATAAATTAGGTCGAACTGAAGATGGAATTAAAGTTGATGATGTTATTTTACCTAAATGGGCACAAACACCAGAAGATTTTATTCGAATTAATCGAACGGTAAAAAAGAATATTTGACAAATAAAAATCAATAAAAGAACATTTCTATTTAGGCTTTGGAATCTGAATTTGTTTCATGTCATTTACATCATTGGATTGATTTAATATTTGGTTATAAACAAAGAGGTTTATTTATGAGATTAATATCATTTTACATTATTTTATATTTGATATTTTAGGACCTGAAGCTATTCGTGCTGTTAATGTTTTTTATTATTTAACATATGAAGGTACAGTTAATCTTGATTCAATAACAAATCCAACAGATCGTGCTGCTATTGAAACACAAGTAAGAAATTTTGGTCAAGCACCATCACAACTTTTAACTGAACCACATCCACCAAGAAATTCAGCAATGAATTTAGTAAGAAGAAAACAAAAAAGATTTTTTGTTTTAATAATTTATTTTTTCTATTTTAGACTCCAATGATGTATAATGTGTAAGTAATTTTCTCAAAGAAAACAAAAATTTAAATATTTTTTTTTTTTAGTACACCAGAAGATGTATCAATGATAATGAAATTTTCATCAAATGCACCAATTATTCATGTTTCTGCTAATACAAGTCCAACACTTTCGGTACAAGCTGTTGTTACAATTAGTAATAAACATGATTTCTCTATAAATAAATATCATCCAAATGCTGGTACATCAACACAAGCTTATCCAGAATCACCACAAGCACCAATGCATCAACAAACACAATTACCATTAAGCATGGATTCGATTTTAGGTAGATTAACTTTATGACACCTATGAGACGCTGCCTGATAACAGATTCAGTGATCCGATATATTTCATACAACTAATACTAGTTTATACTCCATTAAAGAGTTTCTATAGAAATCGGCATTCGAGTGGAAAACAGTAGAAACTTCCGTCTTAAAATCTTTTTGAATGTCATGCAAAAGTAAGTAGCACGCATTATAGAACAAACTTTAATCTAGAGAGCTGAGCCACTAAAAATTGTCTCGAATTTCATAGGTTTCAATCGGCATACAACATTGACTAAAATAGTATTTTAAAAGAAAATTTTTCATATCCGAAAGTTATCAATCTTATAGATAAATAACACCAAAAAAGAATGTCTTCTTTTATCCTTTAGATTTCTTTTACTTTCATATTAAAAGAACCCAAATTCTTATTCTAATTTTGTTTTTGTAGTATCAAATATAAACTTAAGTCGTCGTCATTTGGGTGATAATTTTGATGAACGTATTCAACGACGACATCAAAGTTTTGTTGTTACTGCCGATAATCGTTATATAATTTCAACTGGTTATTGGGATAAAAGTTTTCGTGTACAAAATACCGATACGGCTAAAATTACACAAGTACTCTATGGTCATTTTGATATTGTTACATGTGTATGTCGTTCGGAAATAACTGTCTCTGGAAATTGTTTTCTTGCAACTGGTTCACGTGATTGCACAGTTTGTATTTGGATATGGAATGGAACAAAAGGTGCAATTGTTGATCGTGAATATCCAAATCAAGGTTATAACTAAATATAATTGAAAAAGAAAAATCAATAAATTATAATGTGTTTTTGTTATTGTTGTTTATTTAGATGTCAATCCATCACCAGCAGCAATTTTAACTGGTCATGATACAGAAATAACATGTTTATGGATATCAGCTGAACTTGGTATTGTTTTAAGTGGTAGTGAACAAAGTCTTGTACTTCAACATACACTTAATGGTGATATATTACGTTCATTTGAAAATCCATCAAAAATGTCTACGCCACGTCTTTTATCACCATCAACTGATGGTGATATTATTGTTTGTTATGATCGTTCAAAATTATGTTTATATACATTAAATGGCAAATTAATGAGACAAGCAATATTTGAAGATGAAACTATTCAAGTAAAAACTAAAATATTGAATTTTAAACGAAGAAAATTTATTGTACCATTTTCTTTTTTTTTTTAGTGTATGGTGTTAAATGTTGATAGTCAATATACGGTTATTGGTGGTGATCGAGGTTTCGTACAAATCATTCGAACACATGATTTACAACCTGTTTATGCTTATCCACAATGTGATGCTAGTATTCGTTCATTAGCAATAACGCATGATCAAAAGTAAAAGCTAATTTTTTTGAAGTTTTTATAATAGATAGAGATTGTTCATCTTGTTTTCGAAAAACTCGCAGTTTGAGTCAAGATGAAAATTGAAAAAAAGTGAAAAGTAATCAAATATCTGTCACTACTATCGGATTCTGTATCAAATGAAAGAAAGTTTTCAACTTTTTTCTATCCGGAGAAAAATAAATGTTAAAGTTTTGATTGAACATTCCATTTTGCTTAGATTTCGATGCTATTTCCAAATATGTTCCATACTTATGAACAAAACAGTCCGAAACACTTAAGAGAGCCTATAAAGTCTCAAAACAAAATTTTTTCGTCTTACCATCATCTAAAGATTCTGAAGAAAGATTTCTATCATTTGGAATTAGTTTTAAACTTCGCATTCGGTTATAATAGCATTATTCTTACTCTGTCATGTTGCTAACGAATGATATTGCCCATACATACATATTTTTTGTTTTTGTTTCATTTAGATATATCATGGCAGGTCTTTCTACAGGTTGTTTGATTGTATTTAATGTTAATTTTAATGTTCTTAATCAACCTCGGCGCGAATCTGGAACACCTACTGCAAGTGTTTAATGAAAATGTCTGTTTTCTGTTTGTCGTAGTGTAATTGTTTTTCTTTTTGACTATTAATATTTTAACTTTTTTTTCTTCTTTGCGCTTTCATTTGAGGCTTTTTTTTTTCTTTCTCATAGGCATTCCAAATTCTTTGCGTTTGTATGGTTCTTTATAAAAGAAGGTCCGTGGTTTCATTTTTGTTTTGAATAGGTGAGAACGGCTGCTACGTCTAGTAGTATTTTTTTCTGTTTGATTTGTTGGGTGGGAACTAAGAAAGGCCCAGTGATATTCATTTTGTTGTTGTTTATCGTATTTATCTAGGTTAATTTGTAACGTGCATACTAAAAAAAGATGCAAATCTTTAACAATATCACGATCTTGAATTTTTCTTTTTGTCTGTGCATTTTCTTTTTACTTGTGCTTATAAACAGAGTTCACCGCATTCCTTTTTTCTTGTGTTTCTTAAGCTTTAAAAAAAATAAAACAATTTAATAACTATTCACATATATCTGCGTATGAAATAAACAATTATTTGCAATAATCAAAATAGTTATCTGTATAATTGGTTTTAGATTATTATGGTAAATTGACAAGTCAAATAATGACAGCAGCATCTGGTAATTGAATTGATACATGATACATGACTGAATGGAATAATAATTTATTGAAGATCTTTGTGTCTATAGAAAAATTTGTCCAGTAATGAAAGAGAATAGAATTTGAAAATGAACTGTTTTTCTTAAAATATCAAACGATTCATCAATTAAGTACTTGAAGATGAGTTTGAATAGGTAATTTGACAGAATGTTCGTTAATTTTTTCAGGCTCTCAAAGAAGCCTGCATAATTTTCAAAACATTGTATATGAATTGGAGTTTTATATTGTTTTCGAATACAGGTTCAACATTTCTATAGGATGGAATTGTCGATATTTTTTTTAGAAATAGTAGTGTTTGAAATTCGGCAGAAATTCCAACAACTACTTTTATTCTTGAAGTGTTAAAAGTGGTGGCCCTTGATATTGTTTGTTTATTTTAATTTTACTGTCTGCTGGAGAAAAGTAAATGGTATTTCAAAATTCATTTTTTTGTCCAAAATTAAGTTTCAACGGAGAACAGTGATATTTTTTGTAACAATGTCTTCTTTACTGTATACATTATATCACCGGTTTTATGTGCATAGAGTCGATTCATAACTCTTGAACTAGAAATCATACTGAGAAAGAACATAAAACTCTGCCGACAACCTGATATTTCTGAAATTCCACAGGCTCCTTTAAGAAGTTGAAAAATAAATGAATATTTTGTCAAATTACTTTTCGATAATCCATTGAAAAAAGGATCTTTGAAGGATTTGTTTCTTAAAACTAGTAAGATCCTTTCTAAAATTTGTAATCTCGTTTTCTTTACAGGTGATCAAAATAAACAATACGTCCTTGTACCAGGTGGTGCTGGCTTTATTGGTAGTCATTGTATTATTGAACTGATTTCAGCTGGTTATGCACCAATTGTAGTAGATAACGAATGTAATTCATCGACAGGTTAGATTAAAAATATCCAATAGAAAAGTTGATCCTATCTAGAAATTTCTGTTTAGAATGTTTAAAGCGAGTAGAACAAATTACTGGATGTCAAATAATCAACTATAAAATTGATTGTCTTGACCTTGACGGTTTACGAGATGTTTTTAAAAAATATTCAATTTATGCAATAATCAATTGTGCTGCACTTAAATCAGTTGGTGAATCGGTACAAAAACCAATTTTATATTATAAAAATAATATTGGTTGTTTACTCAATTTACTTACAGTAATTGTTTTCTAATAATGAAAAAAACATTTATTATTGTTTATTGAATATTTTTTAGTGTATGGAAGAATTTAATGTTAAAAATTTTCTTTTTTCATCATCAGCTACTGTTTATGGTACACCAAAATATTTACCACTTGATGAAAAACATCCATGTATTGGTGATGCTATTACTAATCCATATGGTAAAAGTAAATATATATGTGAACATATTCTTAAAGATACAATGGTTGCTCATCCGGTTCGTATGTTAACATTGAAACAATCGTTTTCATTGTTCTTAGTACTGTTAGGAATGGAATATAATTCTTTTACGTTACTTTAATCCTGTTGGCGCCCATAAAACTGGTTTAATCGGCGAAAATCCTATTGGTAAACCAAATAATCTTATGCCATATATTGCACAAGTAGCTGTTGGTCGTTTACCATATGTTAATATTTTTGGTACTGATTATGATACTCCAGATGGTACAGGTAAATGCAAGAAAATGAAAACAATTTATCTTCTAATCATTAAAAAAAATGATTGAATTTGTATAGGTGTTCGAGATTATATACATGTGATTGATGTGGCTATAGGTCATATTGCAGCAATGAAACAATTTGAAATAAATTGTGGTTTAAAAGTTAGAAATGAAAATGATTTAAATGATTTTATCTATTCTTTTTTTTTTTCATTTAGATTTATAATCTTGGTACTGGTAAAGGTTATTCTGTATTAGAAATGATTAAAGCATTAGAAAAAGCATCAGGCAAAACAATACCTTATAGAGAATGTTCTCGACGTCCAGGTGATCTTGCAACTGTTTATGCTGATCCAACGTTAGCAGTTCAAGAACTTGGATGGACAGCTCAAAGAAATTTAGATGAAATGTGTAAGTAAGAGTTTGTTTTTAATAATAGATTAAACATCGTATTTTTTTTACAGGCGAAGATTTATGGCGTTGGCAATCAAATAATCCGAATGGATTTCAATAGAATCTCATACATAGTATTAATTTTATACATCTATAGGAGTCAATCTTTTTTTTTTCAATCTCTTTCTATCTATATATTTAGTCAACATTTGCATTTTATGATTTTATTGTGTTTTAGATGAGTAATATTTACATTCAAGAACCGGCTACTCGTGGAAAAGTTGTTTTAGATACAACTGTTGGTGATATTGAAATTGTATGGGATTTTTCTTTACAAACGGCACTACAAAAGTTTTTTTTCGAGGCCTTTGAAAAAAGTATTCAAAGGCTTAGTTCAACTTATATTTATTAAGAGTCTCGTGTTATTTTATTTGTCTGCTGATTCAGTTTGAAAACTTGTGTTAGGCAGCTATTGACAGACTGTATTCTATAGAAAAAAAATGGCGTGATACACTTGTTCGAACTTTTTTCTGATGAGCTTTAATTGCTCGTGAGTTGTTTTATAACAGTCGAACATTGAACATGAAACTACTTTCAGTCATGGATGAGTTAATTAGATATTTATCGAACATAAAACTTCGTAGAACTTTAAAAACAAATAGAAATAATTGCTGGCGAAAGTTATATTCCGAGTGTCTTCTATAAATTCGTATGACCAGTGAGAATCATCGTTTGGAACAATATTAATTGTATCTGCATAAATAGTAGCTGAAGGAAAACCTAAATTTCTTCGGTTCCAGTTCATGAAATTTATTGCGCATTATCCAATCTTGATTCCCACTTATCTATATTTAAAAAAAAGGCTCTTCGTGTATGTTAAACTAATTTTCTGTTCATATATAATCTTATTTTTAAAATTGTTTTCGTGTGACTGATCTGAAAGAAATGTGAGAATAAGACATTGGAGAAAGCTTAGAAGTTTGAAATTTTGCACGTAATTCTAAATATATCGATACATTATAGCAGAATACTTGACCTCAATATACAGCTTTTGGACGGCCGAACGAAAAAAAAAACTTTTGCAGTGTCCTAGGCAATAATTAATTGTGAAATAGTAACGTTATTTTATTTGATTAGGAACTTTTCTCTAAAGAATGTCCATTAGCATGTCGAAATTTCGTTCAATTATGTATGGATGGTTATTATGATGGTACGATTTTCCATCGAGTTGTACCAAATTTTATTGCACAAGGTGGTGATCCAACTGGAACAGGTGAAGGAGGTGAATCAGCAACAGGTGGATTTTTTCCAGTAAGTATTAATTATATTGAATTTTATTTTATTTTATTTTATTTCTATAAAAACCAAATTTAGGATGAATTTCATACACGTCTACGTTTTAATCGTCGTGGTCTTGTTGGTATGGTTAATCAAGGACCAAATACTAATGCTAGTCAATTCTTTTTTACCCTGGGTAGTACTCCGGAACTTGATAAAAAGAATACATTGTTTGGCAAAGTTGTTGGAAATACATTATTTAATATGTTGAAATTAGGTGAAGGAGAAATTATTGGTGAAATACCGGTACATCAACATAAAATAATCAAAGCAGAGGTTAGCAGTGAAAGAAAAACAATATATAGTTTTGAAAAATTATATTCTATATATAGATTATATCAAATCCATTTGATAATATGATACCTCAACCTCGAGCTAAACCACAAATAATTGATGATGATGAAACGAATAAAAAATCGAAAGAAACTGTACATGCTAAAGCAATCAAGTAGAATTATTCTATGAAGTAGAAAACAAGAACTTAAAATTCTTTGTTTTTTTTTCTTAGAAATTATGGTCTTCTTTCATTTGGAAATGAAGCTGAAGAAGATGAAGAAGAAATAACAAAAATTTCAATGGTATAGATACATTTCATTTCTTTTTTCCGTTACTCAATGTAATATTTATTAGACATTTAAACAAAAAGGAACAGGAAAAAGTGCACATGATTTAACTGATGATTCAACATTAAGTAAAAATACAGTTCCATTGGATGAAAATAATGAAGAAAGTGATGAAGAATTACCTGTGGAAAAACAAAATTCCAAAATAAAAGAAAAAAGTGATGCAGATTTTGATAAAGAAGAACTTGATCGAGTACGAAAAAAATTTAATGAAAAAAAAATAGCTAAACAAGAAAAGAAAAAAGCAGTTCAACTTGATGTTGATGAGGATGAGGATCAAAAAGATATTTCATCATCAAGATCGTAAATATAAAACAAAACAGAAATGAGTTGATTGATTTGATATTTGTTTTTGTTTTTATAGAAGTGAAAATATTAAATTTGAAATTGAACGATTAAAAAAAGAATTAAAACAATCAAAAAAATCGTCAGTACCTAGTAATTTAGCAGAAGATATCGTCCAAGAAGAAACAGAACGTAAGTAATTTTACAATGAAAGGTTACGCAAATTCGTGATTAGCAGTCTGATTGCACTGGTTTTCTTTATTATTATAAAGTCTCTTCATTTAATTTTTTGTTTCGTCAACACAAAAAACTGATTTTGATTTTATTTCGTTTTCCTGTACATTAGAAAATGAGCACATCTTGTCCTATGTTAATGTGTGAACATATTATGTTAACTGCTAAATAGTGAGAAATCTTTATTAATAAAATTCGTTCACGTAATTCGAAATCATAAAATAGATTTCTTCGAATTATATGAAGGATTTTTACAGGTATCAGAAATGTTTAATAAACAAAGTTTGTCGCAGAATGTAACTAATACTTTGTCTGCAAGTAAGTCTCTGTAAGCCTAGACAAAAACTCAAGAGAGTTCATGCTACTGGTAATTTCTTGCTGCGCTAAAGGTATTTCACTAGGATTTTAGCTTATAACATAGTAAATGGAGAAAAAGATCGAGTCAAGATATTTTGCCCTGAAATACCTCCATACGTATATTTAATGATACTTAGGATGTTCCAAAAGTTTCAGTTCGAACGAATAAATTCATTCGAATGTATTGTACTTTTCTCCGGTCTCACCAAGACCTATTTGCCGACAAAGTATTAGTTTGAAACACAATTATTACTTAGGAATGTTCCTTCGTAAGATTCAGTCGATTGAGATAATTACATGCCTAAAGGATGTATGATAGTATTCAGCACATTTTCAATTGACAATCGTATTTCATGATTCTATTTGAAATTTAGCTGTACCTTCTCCTATTCAACCAATTACTTCAAGTACTACTGCATTAATGGATGAACTGATGGCAGGTACAAGACGAAACACTAAAAAAAATCATAGCAGTCATTCGAACTCAAGAGAATCTCAAGTTTGTTCATCAGTTTTTTTGTTGTTGAATAGAACATTCGAATTTTATTTTTAGACACTTGATCTATTAGAAAAATTTCGAGCAAAAATTCATTCTGCTACAAATGAACCAACTAGTGAGCCTTTAAATGAAACAACATTAGAACAAATAGCTGATAAAGTTCAAGGCCCATTTTTAAAACATAGTTTTATATCTGAAGAACTTTTAGATAATGTTCAAGATATTTATACCAATGCTGAATTATTAACTGTTTATGATCCAAGAAATCCGATGACTAAGCGACGACGAGATGAAAGTAGTATGTTACTTCATCAGAAAAAACATAAAGGACGTACATAGAACCATATTATTTGTTTTTTCATATGTGTATTATGTAATTTCCATTGTTGATGATATAAAATAAATCGTTCGATATAAAATACAAAAAAAAACAAAGAAATTATTTATCTTTATTCTATTCAGATAAATTATGCAACATTCATGTTCACGTACGTGCCAGCATGTTGATGAAACAAATGTTGGTCAATGGAATTTGTATACAAAAATTGATAAATATAATTTACAATGTTATAATGAAAAACATGATGGTTCAGGTAAAGAAGTATTTCGAGCATGGGAAGAACGACTTGATCGATCGAAAGTATATTTCATCCGATTTATTCAAAATAAAACACTATTGATACTTGTTTTTTTTTTTTTTTTGAAAGGTAGTTGAAAGTGATGACGAGCAAGAACTACTTTTCAGTATACCATTTAATGGTGCTGTGAAAATAACTGGTCTATGTGTTATTGGTGAAAATGATCCATCACATCCGAATACGGTTAAATTGTAGGTGGATAAGTTATTTCAATAAAGTAGGAAATATGATTTATATATATATGAATAGATGGAGTAATTTACCTGAATTACGTTTTGATAATGTTCGTGGAAAAGCTCATCAAGAAATTTCACTTACATATGATCCATCGGGTACATTAGCTTATCAAGTCAAGTAAACGTCTTTCTTCTTAGAAAATTTTTTAATTAAATACCCATTTTAGTCCATCACATTTCTCACGTGTAACACATCTATCTTTATATTTTCCTTCGAATTTCGGTGATGAAACAACTCGTATTTATTATATTGGTCTTCGTGGAGAATATCTTGGTGTAAGTGAATGTTTTTTTCTTTAATATAATGCTATATGATTTATTTGTTTGTTTTTCTTCTATAGGAAGTTAAATCTAAAGTAGTCATTGCAACGTATGAATCTAGACCACAATTAAAAGACCACAAAGTGGATGATTTACTAACAGGCAATCGTGAAATACAATAAAATAATGATATCTTTTTTTATATTAAACTTGGAAAAGTTTCTAAAATAAATTTTCATCTTGATTAAATTTGTTGTGTTCAAGGCTGAAAGACAAGCATTGTATTGAATTTTGTTTTGAAGAGCAAAAGCCAACATATATATTAGTTTGAACGTGAACCAATAATAGAATCAGTTTTATGAGTCTTTTCAAAAAGTTAATAATATCTTTAAACATTCTGAAATGTTGATGAACAAGTTAACTTTTTCAAAACATTATTAGTACGAACATAGTCTACCTGTTACAGATTTCCTCCATGTAAACGAATAGCAAAACCTGCCGAAAAACGGTCAGTCATGTTCAATGCAAGGCACATTTGAGCACCATATGGTCACCTATTTTGTTATCAGCAATCCTTGTCGTACTGAGATTGATTGTCATCAACTATCGATAAAATGGTGATGATGTAGCAATGAAGAGTCGATTTTTTTCTCCACTACAAAGAGACAGCCAAATGTGGCAAATATGGTAGATTGTAGCCTGCGAAAAGGTCGAGAAGTCGGGATGTCAGAAAAATTTTTTAAACAGGCTACTCTGAACCATAATGAGATAATACTAACCAAGAACTAATTAGTCGTAATTTTTCATCGTAACCCTGAACTACGTAATAAAATGCTTAGGGCATACCAAAAGTAGTGTCGCCCCCATCTTAATTTCGTATAGAACGCTTAAGAAAGATTTCTTTTTTTATGAACAGATAGAGCGTCGTTTGCTCTGTTTTTCTATGCTATTTGATTACTATGTAACTGATATCATTATAATAAAATTTCGATAATACTATTTTTTTTTGTAACTCCACCTGGTACCAATAGTGGATATCATCATCCATGTGTGTTTTCTTTTCTTATTTTCTTTATTTTTCTCTTCTTCTTCCTTTCATCTTCTTTTTCTTATCTCTTGAAACAACTAACCGTCCACATATTTTACAATGCACGAAAAATAATGGTGATGGAACAGAAAAGAAATAGAGAAACAAGTTCAACAATTGCTTATTTTATCAAATGTTCAAAATAATCACCTTTGTTATCTATACACAATTGCATTCTTTGAATCCATTTGTCGAAGGTTTTTTTATATTCTTCTTTATTTAAAGAATACATGAAATCGGATACAGCATCATATAATGATTCTGAATCGCTTTGATCAGTTAGATTTTCTTTAATTAAATCGAACAACCAAAAGTCACATGGTGACAAATCTGGAGAATTAGGTGGATGTGGTATTATTGTGAGGCCTTCTGATTCAAGATAATTGGCCACATCTTT